CCCCCCCCCCCCGACTTTGTTAAATAGCTTCAAACTTGTCCTGGTTTCTCAAGGAATGAAATGTGGTTCTTCTTGTTTGTCGTTCTCCACATTGGTCTAAATTCAGCTATATCCATCTATTTCTTGTCATCTTCATGGTTAGGACTCTAATCTAAACCACCCTCCTTTTTTTTTTTTTTACCTAAAATACTATTTAGTTTCTTACTCAGTATAAGAAAGGAGCACATTCTCTTTCAATGTCTTGTTTTTGATGCTATAAGCACCTTCATAGCCAAATCTAGAAGTCACTTAATCACTGTGTTGCACTGTGTCCTTATTTGGAGGATAGGGCAGCAAGTGTGTTTCCACAATGGAAAGCTAATATTCCTGAAAGGTTAAAGTGAGGAGAGAAAAGAACATTTGATTTCAGGATGATAGTGTGGTGATACAGGCAAGGAGAGTCTGAGTAGGGTGAAAGAAAGGAGGAACTTGACTGTCATGTGCTGGTGATGACTGGAGGTCACACAAGGTGTTCTTTGAACATGTTTTTCTGGATAACAAATAGAAAAATAGGATGGTGACCAAGGAGAATAGGAAGTCAGAGGATAGATGTTTTTGAGATTTATTTAACAATGAGAAATATTAGACTTTGCATGCTATGGATGATAGCTATAGAACAGGAGACATTATTGATTTTGTGTGTGTGTGTGTGTGTGTGTGTGTCTGTCTGTCTGTCTGTCTGTCTGTATGTATGTATGTATGTCTTCCTGTCTTCGGACTTTGCATGCTATGGATGATAGCTATAGAACAGGAGACATTATTGATTTTTTTTTTGTGTGTGTGTGTGTGTGTGTGTGTCTGTCTGTATGTATGTATGTCTTCCTGTCTTCACCACTCCAGTAGGCACTCCAGAATGTTGGCTCTTGACTGTGTCGTTTTTAGCTGTATCCCTGGGATGGAGATACAGTTCAGTGTTATAACTCTTGCCTTCCCTAGTATCATCCCCCCAGAATTAGAATAGTGCCTTCTGTAATAATAGCCACTCTGTAAATGTTCTGACAAGTAACCGTCTTTCAATTTATCCAGCACATATGAAGTAGAAAGATATTTCAAAGGCATAGGTTGCATCAGATGTTACTGACTTTGAGGTTAGTGGTTCTTCTTGCACTTCAAATAAAATCCCAGCTCTGTGTACCTGCTTTCTGAGCTCTGTCTCATGAGATGGTTGCTCCCACAAATGATACTAGCTGTGATTTCCTGAAACAGTAGGGCCCATTTTTCTCCCACCATACCTTATTTTCTCATCTTTAAGGCTCAATGACACAGTCTCAGAATAGCCTTAGTATAGTAGTGGATGAAAGCTAGGACTTTGGAGCCAGACTCTGGGTTCACATCCTGTCAGGACTCGGGTTTGCTTTGCTCAGTGGGGGACCTACTGGCTTCTGGGCAGAGAGACTTGATCAGAGACAGAGTCTTGGATCCTGGGACCTGTGCATTTTCAACAAACCAATGTATTTTAAAATTCAGATGTTTTTTATACACCCAAGGAACTAGCAGTCACATGGGATATGGCAGTCACATACAAAGATTTAAGGTACAAAGAAATAGGACATTTAGTCTGTTAGTTGGTGCCAGAAGGATTCTTAAACTTTTACTCAAGGTTATCAATTCACATCTGGTAATTTATTGGCCACAATGTTTTCTTTCTTAGAGATAAAAGCATGGTGAACTTTTAGCTTTTAGCTCAGGAGTAAACCTTTAACCTGGCCTAATCTCTTAGCCAGGGATAGCTGAGTGATTTGTTCAGGACAAGGAGATGAGCTAAGGGTTGTTGACCAAGATGCTTTCCCACAGAGCAGGGAGCCTGCACTTTTATGACTGGGCTGCTTCCTCCTGCCAGCCTAGCAGTGTTCTGAAAGACAGGGATTATCAGAGCCACTGTTTTCAGTGCCCCTCCCTTTAGCAGAAAATGCAGCCTGGACTTAAAAAGTTTTAGGCTCACCTCATCCTAGGGCCTGCCATCCTGGTTTCCTACAACATCCCAGTTCCCCTGTAATTGCTGCATGTGACCTTAGGCAAAACACTTAAATTCACAAAGCCTCCTTTCTGCTTTCTATAAAATATAAATAATGGTATTTGTTTTATACAACTGATTTGGAGATTGAAAGGGTATATGTGCTATTGCTTTAGTGTCAACTTGACGCACCTGGATTGAGGGAGCCTCAATTGGGGAATTTCCTTCTTTGGGCTGGCCTGTGGCCATGTCCATGGGGGCACCTTCTTGATTATTGAGTGATGTGGGAGGGGGCCCACCCCACTGTGGGCGGTACCACCCCTGGGCAGGTGGGCCCGTGTTGCATAAGAAAGCAGGCTGATCAGGGGCCAGGGGCGCAAGCCAGTAAGCAGTGTTCCTCCATGGCCTGTGCTCTAGCTCCTGCCTCCAGGTTCCTGCCCTAGGTTTCTACTTTGGGCTTCTTGATGAACTGTAACCCGGGAGATGTAAGATAAATAAACCCTTTCCTCCCCAAGTTGGTATTGGTCAGAGTGTTTTGTCACAGCAATGGAGAAACAGACTAGGACAGTATATAAAGCATGCAGCACAAATGGTGGTACATCCTCGCTAGATGATGAACACACACACACAGACATACACACCCTTGCTCGATGATGAACATACGCGCACACACACATCCTCACTAGATGATGAACACACATACACACACACCATTGCTAGATGATGAACACACACACGCACACACACACCATTGCTAGATGATGAACACACACACACACACACACCATTGCTAGATGATGAACACACACACACACACACACACACACCATTGCTAGATGATGAACACACACCCTCGCTAGATGATGAACACACACACACACACACACCCTCGCTAGATGAGGAACATACGTGCACACACGCACCCTTGCTAGATGATGAACACACACACATCCTCGCTAGATGATGAACACACACACACATCCTCACTAGATGATGAACACACACACACACCCTCGCTAGATGATGAACATATGTGCAGACACACCCTCGCTAGATGATGAACATACGTGCACGCACACACACACACACACACACACCCTCGCTAGATGATGAACATACACACACACACACACACACACACACACACACACCCTCACTAGATGATGAACATACGCGCGCATACACACACACACACACTCACACACAAATAAATGGATAAATTAAGAAGCATGTCTGCCTTATTCTCTAAGACAGTTCTAGTTCCTAGTTCAGTACCTGTTATATAAAATACTTCTTTAACAAATATTAACATGAATAGGCCAGAAACCATGCTTCATATTGAGACATTAATGACTTGAGGACCCAGTGAAGTCAGAAGTGTTAGAATACAGCCTTAATTTAGTTCTTTCAAATGACTTACATGTATGTCATTATTTTACAGCAAAAGATTTGTTGTTAGACTTGATTCTTGTGCTTTTATTGATTCAGTTATTTAATTTAATGCTTTACATTAAAAATTAATGCTTTACATTAAAATTTTAATGCTTCTAAT